CTCCGGGGGCTGGGCGGCCAAAGGGGGAAGGGGGGGGGCTTCCAAGCCCCCCCCCCTTTGGCACAATGGGGGGGAGGGGGGGGGGGAGCTTCCAGCAGGGCGGCTCCAAGAGAGGGGGGGGTAGCTTAAGCACCCCCTCCCTTTGGAAAGGGGGGGAGGGGGGGTAGCTTCCGGGGCGGCCAAAGGGGGGGGGGAGGTGGGTAGCTTCCAAGCACCCCCCCCCCTTTGCACGAAAGGGGGGGAGGGGGGGGTAGCTTCCAGCAGGGCAGCGCCAAGGGAGGGGGGGGGTAGCTTAAGCACCCCCCCCCTTTGGAAAGGGGGGGAGGGGGGGGGTAGCTTCCGGGGAGGGCCCAAGGGGGGAGGGGGGGGTAGCTGTAACCCCCCCCCCCCCCCCCTTGCAAAAAAGGGGGGGAGGGGGGGGGTGGCTTCCAATAAGGGCGGCTCAAGGGAGGGGGGGGGTAGCTTAAGCCTACCCCCCCCTCCCCTTTGCTCGGGCCCTGCGGGCGCGCTCTCTCGTATATACGTACATGTCTACATCTGTAAGTAGTTCTGTGCACTTGCACGAGTGACTCTTTCAAGGCAGCGCCCGGCTATGAGTAATTGCTCCAAGGGCACATACAAGGTTTTGCTGCGTGGGCCCCGGACAAGGTGTGTGTGTGTGTGGTTTCATGTCTGTCTACTCTCGATGTGTCGTACAAGTTTGCAGTATTTGTACGGTGTAGCTGTGTGGTGTAGCCCATGTATTATACACATGTGCGAATTTAGATTTTGCACCCTCCAGAGACTTGCGCCATTCCTGTCATCCTCAGAGGAGGGCTTGGGCGGCTTCCGATCTCGCACGCGTGGTGTGTCGCTTCCCGTCGTGCTGCCTGCGCGTCGCTGTTGCCGATTTGGCTGCCTCCTCGGCGTCTGTTGAGCGGCGGGGGGGGGGGTCAACCCTCGCCTTGGTGGGTGGGTGGGATGGGGTTCAGGGCTCGTTTCGATGCCTTCGATTCGATTCGATTTCGATGGATTCCGTTCTGATTCGATTCGACTTCGGATTCCGATTTGGGATCCGATTTATCAATAAAGGCCTACTAGCCTGCGGATGTCTGCCGATTCAACTTTTCTCGACTCGGCTGCCGATTCTCGCCGATCCGATTCATTTCGATCGCCGATCCGACATGTCGATTCGATTCTGGGCTCGCCTGGGGTTTTGGATGGGGGGTGGTCTAATCTTGATCGGGAGGAATCGGTGTGGTGCAAGCTATGTGGTGCATGAAATGTTGTGCAATCTAGGTTGGTGCAAGCTTTGTGTTGCAATCTATCTGCGCGTCCAGGGAATGCCAGCCAGCGCACGATTTGCCCACAAGCTCCAACCAGCCGACAACCCAGACATGCCAGCCACCGAACGAGTTGCCCACGGGCGCTCACCAGCCGAAAAGCTGGAAATGCCAGCCCATCGATTAACAGCAATGGGAACCACCTAGTGCAAGCACTGTCAGGTGAAAACTCGTTTGGAACATGACTGGACGTGCATTGGCCATACATCTAAGCTGTATACGCGTGCATGCGCGCATGAGCCCTCTTTCTCGGGTCATTTCTGCCGGATGCTTCCCTGCTTCAGAGGTGAGGTCCCAGCTCGCGCCCCCTCCCGCCGCGGAGGTGCGCCAGATGGTGATGGACCAGCCTCTCCAGCCAGAGTTCGAGGCAGATCTCAAGCTGCAGTGGGAGCGCGTCTCGAAGGGCAACGAGGGCTTCCAGGTGGCCGTTCGCTCCTCGGCCACCGCGGAGGACAGCCTCCCCCTGTGTTTTTGAGTGTGTGTGTGTGTGCGTGTGCGTGTGCGTGTGCGTGTGCGTGTGCGGTTGCATCTGCGCGCGTGTGTGTGTGTGTGTGTGTGTGTGTGTGTGCGTGTGTGTGTGTGTGCGTGTGTGTGTGTGTGTGTGTGTGTGTGTGTGTGTGTGTGTGCGTGTGTGTGTGTGTGTGTGTGTGTGTGTGTGTGTGTGTGTGCGTGTGTGTGTGTGTGTGTGTGTGTGTGTGAGTGTGTGTGTGTGTGTGTGAGTCTGTGTGTGTGTGTGCGTGTGTGTGTGTGTGTGTGTGCGTGTGTGAGCGTATGAGTATATGTGTACGCCGATCCTGGGCCCAGGTCCGATCTGGACCCAGGTCCGATCTGGGCCCAGGATCTGTCTGTCTGTGTGTGTGTGTGTGTGTGCCTGTCTGTCCGTCTGTCTGTCTGTGTGTCCATCTGCCTGTCTGCCTGTGGGCGGCGGCTTCCGAGCCCGCGGCTGCCTTGGCGCGTCGCGCATCTTATTTCGACGCGCCGAATCGGCCGAGGCCGTCGCGCGCGCGGTGCCCCGCCCCCTCGCGCATTGGTTCTCTCCCCCGCGCGCTTCTTGGGGACTTCCGAGGGCTTCTTGGAAGCCTCTGAGGTTTTCTTGGAGGTCCCTCAGGGCCTTTTGGGGTGTTCTTGGAGCAGGCTGGGGGCGTCTTGGGGCCGAAGGCTCGAGAAGGTGCCCTTTGGACTCCGTCTTGGAGCCGTCTGGGGGCCCTCTTGGGCTGTCTTGGGGGCTTCGTGGGTTGTTGTTGGACCCTCTTCGACCCTTCTTTGGGGCCCCTTTTGGCCGTCTGGGGGCGATATTGAAGGTTTCATTGCCCGTCTGGGACGTTGTGAAAACAGAATGGGCGAGCATGCGAAAGTTGCTTGCTCTTCGAAGGGAATGAGACGACTTCTGTTTCTTGGGACCCTCTCGGGGAGCATCTTGGGGGCCTTTTGGGGCGTCTTGGCAGCTTCGGAGGCCGCCTGGAGGCCATCGTGGGCGTCGAGGGGCGATCTGTCGGCGAATCGTGGCCCCCTGGGACCGTCTGGGGAGCGTTTTGGTGCCTTCTTGGCCAGTTCTGGAGCCCTCCGCTCCCCTGTGACGCGTTCGGTCCTGGGTCGCGCTCGGTCAGGGGGTGGTGGTTAAATTGCCTGTTTGGGGTCCCTGGGGGGGATTATGGGGGGGGGGAATCCCACGCGCCAAGAGACCCACAAGGGGTTGGCGGATTGGATGCGTTTCGGGCCTGTCGACTTGAAGGTGACATGCAACAACAAGGGTACGGAGTACCTCAACGTCTACGCCCGTACACGCCGGCGCGAACGCAGTTATTTGCGGAGCACGATCCGCGTCAGGGACGTTTGCGAACCTTGTCTCTGGGGGCGTACGTGGAGCTCCATGTGGGGCGCGATCCCTGTGAGGGGTGTGCCGACACAGGCGGGGGGACGCCAAGCCAAACTTGTCTCTGCGGCCGTCGGTGGAGCTCCCTGAGGGGCACGGTCCGTGTGACAACAGATTTTCTCCGATGCCGAACACTTCATACTACAACTAGAGCTTGCTAGAACCTAAGCGCGCGCGAAGTGCCCGCGTGGTTCTAGTATCTTTTATATATATACATAGAACAAACGAGAGAGGAAGATAACTAAGAACTAAGAGGAGGAAAGGTACCCATACCGCTGCCATGCGCCGTTTTCGCCGTTTTGAGCCTCCTGGGATGCCCTCGTCGCAACCGCTGGATTCGCATCGAAATTCTGGTCAGAACGCACCCCGAGAGAGTTCTGGGGAACAGTTATATCGGTACCTCTGAGTTTCCCCAAGAGCGAGCGATAGAGAGAGAGCGAGAGCGAGAGAGAGAGAGAGATAATGCGGAGGGTGAAGGTAGGCATCTTTCAGGCGTGCCACCTGCCTCTCGGAGATTCGTGGGGGCCCCGAACGGATTCGCCGAGCAGCCGAAACCCATAAACAGTCCCGCGCCGCGATTTTCTGGTGAGGCCGACGGTGGGGCGACCTCGCAGCCCCTCCGGAGCCCACTCTGCCTTGTCCTGATCCTGTTCGTGCTGCTGCGGCTCTTCTTCCGATGACGGATTTGTTTTAAACAAGAATAAGGCGCACACAACATGTTCACGTGCACGTTTCAAGATCACCCGCGCGCGCAGGGGGAAGAAGGTTGGGTGGAGGGAGAGTGGAAAGGGGGATACGGTTCGGAGGAGGAGAGTTCCTGTTTCTTTCCTTCCTCCATGCCCTCCTCATCCTGGTTCTCCCTCTCCTCCCCCTCCTCGCGAGGACCTCCCGGACGCCTCCTTCGCCGGTCAGCAGGAAACGTACTTGAACGTGTCTGGTTTCGAGAACCTTAAAGAGAAGGTCGGTCTGGCGTGCAAGCGAGAACGGCCAGAATGATTAGGAAGATGAGCAGAAGGTGCAGGAGGATGCGCAGGAGGAGGAGGAGGAGGAGGAGGAGGAGGAGGAGGAGGAGGAGGAGTGAAGGAAGGCTAGGACGAAAATGACCATGCACCATGGGTTATGAGCATGACGGAGAGGATGATTTTCCGGAGTAGGATAGTAATAAGTATGAAGAGGAATGTGTCACAGAGGAGGACAAGGGGTAGGATAAGCAGGAGGAGCTGCAGGGTCATTATATGAAGGCCGATAATGAAGATGGTGAGGATTCTCATGATGAAGATGAGCAGCATTGGGATGAGGATGAGGGCGGACGTCGAGAAGGAGGAGGATGCGTGTTACAAGTCTTCACGCTTCTCGTATCCTTACCAGCCCCCAGCCGAGCCCGTCCCGCTTCCTGGATCTGTCCTTGAGGCCGTCAATCAAAAAAGTATCCTTACCAGCTCATTCGGAAATGGAAAAAGGGACGAAGGGACACAGAAGGTGAAGCAGAGCCGGCAAGCAGGGTAAACAGAGAGGTCCCAAAAACGCATCGGAAGCGAAATGGTGAGAAGTCAAACACCAGCGGTTTTCATACGGCGTTTGAAGGATTGTTTCTGGGGTCTTGAGGGTGATCCGAGATTACTTGGAACCGCCTTGTGGACCTCGTCGAGCCTCTTGGAGGTATGCAGGAAGCTATCTTGATCTATCGTCGACTATCTTGAGCCATCTAGAGCGTCATCTTGGAGCATCGGAGATCCCCCTGGGGCCCTCTTGGGGCTCTCTTGGGCCTGGTGGGAGCCCTGGAGGGTCTTTTGGGGCTGTCGTGAAGGGAATCGGTGAACAGAGATGTGGTCGTAACGTTTGGTACTCCTCCTGGGGTCCAAGTCGCCTCCCCCCTTGGGCCATCAACATCGCCAAAACGTTCCCAACACCTCAGTACAATTATGGACTATGGCCTTCTCGCCGAAGCCATCCAAGATGCTTTCACGCCCCGCGACCCCCCCAACAGCAACAAACGGGAAGGGGGTACGTGCACCTCTCGGACATAATAGATTTTGGAAAGAGGAGATACAGATTTCGTTAGCCCAAAGGGCTCGTGGGGTTTGAGTGAGGATGGAGAGGATGATGTGGATGAGGATGCGGATGATGGTGCTGAGTATGAGTGCTGCTGCTGATGACGACGACGATGATGACGATGACGATGACGATGACGATGACGATGACGATGACGATGCCGATGATGATGATGATGCTGCTGCTGATGATGCTGATGATGCTGATGATGATCATGATGATGGTGATGAAGATGATGATGATGATGATGATGATGATGATGATGCTGATGATGATGATGATGATGATGTTTATGATGATGATGATGATGATGATGATGATGATGCTGATGATGATGATGATGATGATGATGATGATGATGATGATGCTGATGATGATGATGATGATGGTGATGATGATGATGATGATGATGATGAGAGAGGAGGAGGAGGAGGAGGAGGAGGAGGAGAAGGCTGATGATGATGAGGGGGAGGAGGAGGAGGAGGAGGAGGAGGAGGAGGAGGAGGAGGAGGAGGAGGAGGAGGAGGAGGAGGAGGGGGAGGAGGAGAAGGAGGAGAGGTGGACGAGGATGACGAGGACGAAGATCAGGACGAGTTTTGGCGGTGGGTAACCATCACCTTCATGACTGCCAGCGGCTTTTGGCCGCGATCTGCCGGGCGCGTTCTCGCCCCCCCCTACCTGTCCCCGCCCCTTGTCCCGCGAGAGGCAGCTTCAGGCCATGGCCCGCCGCCGCTGCTGGCGCTCCTTGTGAAGACTTGGCAGAATCCTTGCAAGTCCTGCCCATCATCCCTCCACACATTGCTCCTCTCTCCCGGCAACGTCGAACCCGATGGTACCTTGTAGGGATGGGCGACCTTCCCAAGGGTACCTTTGCATCTCGTGCCTCTTTGGTCCATCCTTGGCTACTTTCGAAGGCCCGCCGCGCTCGAGAAAGCTTCAACATGGGCATCCAATGCCCTTGCACCCTTATCGCGCACCCTTACTATCAGTTTTGACTGTACTGCGCCTCTTCCTCGTCCTTCTCCCTCTGCCTGCTGCTGCTGTTCCTCCTCTTCCGCCTGCCAAGGCTCCTCCCTGCTTATCTTCTGGTGGCTGTGACACCAGCTAGCTTGGCCTCCTGGTGGGGGTTCATGCGCCCCAGAGCCATCACTGAACATCCTGCTCCTCTTCCCCTATACTCCCTATCCGACACGCCCTCTTTCTGCTGCTTGCTTTTCCTCGTCCTCCGAACGCCTCTAGACACCTCCAGACGCCTCCTGAGGTCCAATCAGGATCCCAAACGCACAGGGGCATCAAGGACCTCGACCCCCGAAGGTCTCCAGAGGGCAACAAGGCCTCCAGAGGCCTCCAGACAGCAACAATGACCTCGATCCTCCTCCTCCTCCTCCTCCTCCTCCTCCTGCTCCTCGATCTTCTCCTGCTCTTGGATCGCCCTGCGGGCGGCTATCATCCAGACTGCCCCGTCTCCCTCTGCGCCGAGCGACACTGGAGCCGAGGAGGAGCAGCAGCGGCACAGCCATCCGTTCTCGGAGGCCCGTGCGGATCTCTCAGGTCGGCGCTGGGCCCCTCTCGGCGGCGCCTCCGGCGACGCCCCCTGGCGGGCTCCTCGCGCTGCGTGTGGACGGGGAAGGGGGGGTGGGTGCAGCGCCGACCCGAGAACGCCCCGCCGGCCTCCGACGGGTTCTCTTTAAGCAGCAGGCTCGCGCCACTCCGCCGACCCCCAGGAGGAGGAGAGGTGCGGCCTCCGACGGAGCTGTTTGCCGCCTCCCCGTCGTTCTGCGGCTGGAGCTGCCATGGTTTCCGCCGACGAGGAGGAGGAGGAGGAGGAGGAGGAGGAGGAGGAGGAGGAGGAGGAGGAGGAGGAGGAGGAGGAGGAGGAGGAGGAGGAGGAGTAGGAGGAGGAGGCCGCGCCAGCACACTCGGGCGCGAACTCCTCCGCCTCTGAGCGGCCTTCTCTTCCCCTCCTCGCCCCCCGTGGCCGCCTGTTCTGCCCCCTTCCCTTTCTCTTGCACGCTGGCCAGTTCGCTTCTCGGTGCCCTCGTCTCGCTCTACAGTCGGGGCCCTGAAGAAGGAACCCTTCTCGTTTGGGAGGGGCTCGGTGTTCCTTAAGTGTTTCGCAGCTTGCCTTCTGTTTTCCTTATGTTTTCGACAGGAGATGGAAGGTTCACTTATGGAAAAAAGGGGCCTCGTTCCTTATTTTGGGTTCCTTAGGTCAAGGCCCCGGCTGTATTGCTGGTGCAGCCAACTCTGCCT